CACTTGCAGAGTGTCGTGCTTGCTGGAACATATAACTGTCTGAACGATAACTTGCGTCATGAATATCGCTTGGGTGAAGCACAGCGAAATGATTGAGATATCGTTGGATCGTATGTACATGGCGTATAATAGTGGCAGAAGCAGACAGCTAATGCTAATGGTCGCGAATAATTGTGCAGTTTTGTAAACGAACAGCTTTTTTCTGCTGCTGTGCGGAGGAAGCGGCCAACAGAACGATAGAGCTATGCTCAGTCGGACAATGTCGATAGTTTTTTCCAGTGTCACTTGTTTCAGCATGATCTCGATGAGACTGTCGTCGAACTTATCGTGTCGAACGAGTTAAAATGACTGATCTAAATAGCACGATACGTGCAGATTATTGCAAGCTGCACTAATGTAGAATCCTACCGTACAATTATGGAAGTTATCATAGTAGTTATTAAAGTAATGGCACGTACGCGAAGATTTGATGAAACCGAATAGTTATGCAAATCAGTACTGTATTGTACGCTGTGTAAGAAGTATTTAATAAGTTACGAGCGAATGCACAGCCACAAGATAATAGCGTATCGATTGATACTCATCTAAAGCCAGTGGTCTCTCTGTTAACCGAATAACTGATACGATAATTATTGTTGCCTGTATTATGCATTACTGAGATGTTCGATGCTGGATAGAGTTGTGGGAATGTTCTGCGTGTTGGGAGTTAATATTCAAATAGCAAACTGTTCTTTGAAGGTGTAAATTGAAGTTTCAAAGGTATACCAGGAGTGCATATTCAGTCTCTCGCGGGATACGAAGCAGTATGGTTGGGTAGGAAGAAGAATAAAGTGCACATTCGAGGTATATGTACGGTTCTTCGATATTCTTGCGAAAATAGATACTATGTGTTAACAGCTGTGCAAAGGAAAGACGAGGATAGTAATTAGGATTATGCACCAGTTGTGCAGTGGAACATTTGCTACATGTATGCGGTAAGAAATACGTCATGCCTGTAATCATTTATATTGTTTTCAGTTATATATAGGTGAAAAATACACGGTGTTTTGGTTATCAGGTTTTGAATTGTGTTGGGTCCATATGGTGCAGTTCTGCAATTTAAATTGTATGTGACGTATGGGGTTAATGATTAAAATGGATGAAATTGTATCTGTCGAAAATGGTAATTATTCTTGAGCGTGGTTCAATTTGATCTCACTGGAGCGATATAATTTGAAGAATACTTGGATTTGTTTCGCTTTGCAAAGTCTGTTTTAATTGCTAGTATAATTGCTGATGCCTCATACCGGTGACAGATAATACTTGTTAGTCAGAAGGTGAATTTTTGATGATTTGATGGAGAAAGTCTAGAAGGCCATTAATTTGGTCCGAACTAGCTTCGAAGAGACATGACATCCATGAAATAAAAAAAAGTTACAAAGTTAAATTTTCACTTAAAGAAATGCAAATAATTTATTGTTACCAACTTTTTCTTGAATTACTCTCCTAGAAAATTAAGTTGTCTCCTTGTGGGCCACGTTGGGAGCCACGGGGCTAGATGTATGTTAGTCGAATGTCACACGCAAAAGATAGAAAAATCGTGCTGAAAAAAGGAAGTAAAGAAAGACTCAGAAGGTGGAAAAGTGAAAGGAAAGAATGTAGATATACATTAATACAAGGCAGGTTCAGCTTTTATTGCGATTTTATGTTCTTAAAATTATGATAATTTTTTGTGTTTACTCTGTCATCTCTTCCAATATGGCACGTAAAGCGGTACAGAAAGAGAGAGCATTCGACAGGTACTGAAACGTTATCGATCTGTTATCTATGATGAATTACCATTGATCAACTCGTTTATCACGATCGAAAGATTTGTAACAATAAGGACAGCTTCCACGATTCATTTACAAAAGAAAGTACAAAAGTTTAGATACAAATTTAGAAGTGGAAAATACTGGTTTTGGAAAGTTAGAAAATAATCTTGGAAAATATCGAATTTAACATCCCGGATAAAAACTGGACTGTTCGAGATTCCATGATTAATTACAAGTATTTTGACAATGGAACAGGCTCAGGATTTACCAATCTCTACTATATTTGGGAAAATCATTCGATTTCGATTTCTCCGAAATGAATATTCAAGCTATTGGAAAACGGTCCTCATTGCAGCAAATCTTTCGACGTTTAACAGTCTTACCGTGCAGTAATAGTGCAGAGAGAGTTCTGGTACCACACACTTGATAGAAAGTGTCACTGGTTTCTGATACGTCATCACGTTCAATAAGTTCTTTTGCATTCCCAGTGTTTGTTTGTACCACATTAACTCGTACACAGTCGTCGGAAGGCTTAAACTCTGCGAATTATGGAATGTTATTTGAATCATTTCGCCTTAAGAGGATGCTATTTTGTTTATTACATTTCTATAGAAACGATCTACCATATCTTTCATGTTGTCAGCTGGCCACGCGTACATGAGAAGATACATGAGATAGTACACACTGTTGACTGTGTACATCATTTTCAGGATTACTGATATATTCTATTTGTAAATTAGTCATTAGTTGTGTTTGAAATGATCGGTTTGGTAGTCTTCATGTAGGTGTCACTTACCATGACCACCATGACGGCGCATAGAGTCATGAGAAACGTGGATATTATTATAACAAAGAGCACCATGTAACGAAAACAAGTAAAAACATCTTCCGCGTATCTGCAGCAAAATACAGTCGCTTGGAGTGTGTGAATGTGAATGTATTATTAGGTCCACTGTTTCACTGATTTTTGCCAATATTTCGGAGACTAAGAAGTATCAAAATATCGATACCTGGCAATATATATTTCAAGATTACAAGAATCGGTGAGTTCGTCCGCTTCGTAAATAACTGTATAAATTTTGGAAGAATTTACTTTTGACCGCGTTGCAAATCCATAGATAGTGTCTAGTCCTAGTGACGACTGTTAAACAATGAACCTTGATCCACGCGTGCAAAAATTATCTTTACCTCTTCAGATGTAACTGTTTTCGAATGCATGTGGTCAACGTACGAACATTCGTGTTCATCTGTATTTCAACGGCTAGACACTCGTATCTTGCGGCTGTGAACCAAATTAAAAGCCCCCCGAACACGCACAGACACACGTGCGAGCAGCATTGATAGCACGCGACGATTTGATGCACGCGTACCATTATACTTATTGACGTGCGATTAGTGTCGAACGGATATTCCGCGTGTATTATGTTGACCATTGGAAACAACGTAGGCCCCAGCAAATAAATGGACGCCATCACGTAAGCGCCGATTATGTAACTGGCGTAAATAACATTACACCTCGCTAGGTACGTGTTGAAAATATTTCTTTCGTGTTGCTGCACCTCTTTCACGAAAATATACATTTCCTCGACTATGCGCTGTATTTCGTTGTTAAAGCATTTTTTAACTAACCTTTTTGATCAGAGTTGGCTAACTGGCGGTCCTTGCCCCCACTCTTCTCACTGCTAGCGCTATCCCCTCCACTGCATCAGTTTTAGTATATTGGAAAGATCGATGAAGTGGAGGGGGTAACGACAAGCTGAGAGTCCGCTAGAGAGCTTGCCAGTTAGCCGGCTCTGTTTTAGACAATTTCTGGCCACTGAATTTGGAATCGTTCAAGTATCATTAGATGTATCAATTAATTCATGGTTGATTTCTACGAAAGACATTGTACTGCAAGATATATCGGCCGTGGCGCTGAAACGATTGAAATCTATCTACAGTTTTACTAGAACTTCTGAAAATTCCGAGTGCTCCCAATTTAATGGCCGGGAAATTATTCGTGAGAAACACGCGTGACAATAGAAATAAAATTCAGAACTTACTTGCAGAGTGTCGTGCTTGTTGGAACATATAATTGTCTGAATGATACCTTGCGTCGTTAATATCACCTGGCTGAGACACAGCGAAATTATTTCGATATCGTCCGATCGTATATACATGGCGTATAACAGTGGCAGGAGCAGAGAGGTAATGCTGATTGTCGCGAAAAGTTGCGTAATTTTGTAAAAGAGTAGTTTTCTTCTGCTGCTGTACGGAGGGAGCGGCCAACAAAACGATAGAGCTAAGCTCAGCCGAACGATGCCGATAGCTTTTTCCAGTGTCACTTGTTCCGGCATGATCTCGATAAGACTGTCGAACTTGCGACTCGAACGAGTTAGAATGACTGATCTAAGTAGCATGATACGCGCAGACTGTTGCAAGTTGCAGTACTGTTGAATTCCACCGTACAATTATGACAATTATCATAATAAAATAATAG